AAAAAAAAAAAAAAAAAGAAAACAATAACAAAAGGTATCAGATTCTGCCTGATTGTTGTTGTTGTTGTTTTGCGAGCATTTGACTTGTTTCAATGTCATGTTACATTTTATTTGTTGTACATGTATGTATATATATTTATATATATTTTATATATGTACGATCTATTTGCTTGTGTTTTTGTTTTTGCTTTCAATGTTCTATTTGGCATTGAGAATGTTTTGTCTGTGGGGCAAAGCCAAAAAAGTAGATTAGATAGAGAAAACGAAATGAAACGACACAAAACGCAACGAAATGAAAATGAAACGTAGCTACTAGCTACAATATTATAGAATATAGAATCTAGACAGAGGGGACGCTGGGGAGGGGTCGAATGGGCAGCTGCATTTGTAATTGCGTTCGCACGCAGATACAATTCCATTTTTATGATGCTCTACTTTGTTGCTATTTTTTAAGAACACAAAAAAAAGAAGAAAACACAAAAGTGAAATAAAAAAGGAAAACTCTTATCTTTGGCCAGGTCTTTGTAAAGTTATATAAAAATAGAAACAAAACAGAAAATGAAAATACCAAATTAAAATCATTTTGTGATTTCATATTGATTTTGTAGAACATTTTTGATCAATTGGAGGCGTGGCCATAGAGTACATATGTTCTCGGTCGAGATATTGCTAGCAGAGAGCTATCGAAAATTGTGTTCTGCTTGAAGGCCATAAGGAGCGATAAAGAATCTGTCCAATTGGCAATCGATAATTCATCGATAGCTACAAACACAATATGGATTTTCAGTTTCATTTTCATTAAATCGATAAATCGTACACTTAGCTTAAGATTACAATCGATATATATATATATATATTTCCAAGTTGATTTCAAAATTCTAATACGGTATGGTATGGTATTTATGTATATAGGATATTATAAGTTATATATATGTATATATCGTATTTTGGATATCTCATAGCAATAGAATGCCAAAAAGAGAAGTCCAATTGGATTAAACGCTGCTCGTTAGATTTTGCAGGGTATCTGCTAGTCGTACATGCTAGATAATGATTGTAATCTAATGTTGAATGGTTCATTTACTTATATATGATGTGGGCTCATTATGCTGAGTCACGGCATTTCTCTTACTCATATTTCATTGAACCCCGAAGAGTTGTTAGAGAAGTGCATTGTATTTAATTTTAATAATCTTGTTATGTAATAAAACTATTTGTCAGGATTTAACTTTTTACAATAATATTATTATGGATATATTTCTATATATTTAAAAAATATTTAGTTGCTCTAGTTATTAAATGTTTCAATTTGTCNTAATAATAAAAGAAATAAATAAAAGAAGCGAAATATATGTTTTCGGCTGGCCAAGTCATTAAAGCGGTGCATTAAACCCGCATCAATGTCAGCACAAAACAACAACCGCAAGAC